CCCCCCCGCTGTCCAAAGACAATGGGCAGTGTGGAACCCCCTGCTGTCCCCACAGCAGGCCAAGTTCGCCTTCTACCGCTGCGCTCTGCTGCTGGGGTGGCGGCCGCGCCACACCCTCTTCTGCACGCTGGCCTGGGAGCGAGGCCTCAGCGCCCGCCACTTCCTCTGGACCTGCCTGGTGAGGCCGGTGCAGCCTCCTCCAGGAGGGCTAGGGCGGGGGTAGGGGTCCCTGGGCGGTGACAGGAGGGTCTCCCTGGCCAGATGCGCGCCAGCTCCGAGGAGTTCAGCATCCACCTGGCCCAGGCCCTCAGCTACCTGCACAGCCACCACCAGCACATGAAGACCTGGGCCGCGCTCTTCATAGGTGGGCAGGGGGCTGCCAGGCTGCAGCAGGCCCAGGCCGCCGAGCCCCACCGGCAGGAAAGGAAGGGTGGAGGAGGGGCCTGGGGTGGAGGAGTGGGTCTGGCCCCAGGAGACCACCCACCCTCTGCCCAGCTGCACCCTGTCTTGCACAGGTTACACCATCTGCTACCACCCCCAGGCCGTGTCCCGGATGGTGAGCGAGGTGGACACCAACCTGCTGTTCTGCAGTAAGCAGCCCCCCCAGGCCTGCATCAGCCGGGACCCAGGCCTCCAGAGCAGAGCCCCGCCCTGCCTCCCCTGGAGTGGGTGGCCTGTCCCCTCCCTGGGCCCCTCAGGATACCTGGCACGGGGTCACCCCCACCCCCCAGCTGACAGAACCAGGCTCCAGGAAGGGGTGGGAGCCCTTCCCCCCACCCCCAGCCCCCCTGGGCAGGCAGGAGGGTGACCCACCCGCTGAAGGAATGGGGGGCTGCAGCCAGGCCTGGGGCACCCCTGACTCTCCCCTTCTCTCCTGGAGCTTTTGAAGACCTCAAAAAGGACCCAGAGCCTGGCGTCCGGGAATTTGCCACCAGGCAGCTCTCCTTCCTCCGGGAGGTGTCAGAGGGACGCCAGCAGTGACCAGCACCCCCTTCAGCCACCTGGCGGGCAGCCCTGCCCCATCCCAGAGAGTTGGTTGCATAACATTTTTCCATTTGAAAGAAAGGTCTAGATTCCACAAAGAAGCATCACCCTGTGGCTCCCTGCTCTCATCCGAGGCCCCGCCCTGTGGCCCAGCCAAACCAGCAGACACTGGCAGGACTCAGGGACGGGGTGGAGGGACGGAGCCTGCCAAGGCATCACTCACAGAGATGGGGTCTGCTCCACACGACCAGAGCCCAAGAGTCCTGGGCACGGGGGACGCCACGCGGGCAGCCCCAGCCCTCACTCTCCCGGCCAGGCGCCCACAGCTGGGGCCAGGGTCTGCCCACTCCCCCTCCTCAGTCCAGTCAGGACTGACCAGGCCCCAAGTCGTGCCTCCCAGGAGAGCCAGGCTCACCCAGGATGAGGTAAGCGGCCTGAGGCAAAGCCCCGGCTCTCCGGCCGGCCGTGCCCTCTGTAAAATGAGTCAGAAGTCCTTCCCCACAAGACCCTCTTAGAGGGCCCAGAGGAGGGCCCCTGACTGCAGACAGCCTCCCTCACCCTTCCCCTCCACCCGCTTCCCCCGTGTGAAACGGGCAGGCGGGCCTTCCCTCGCCTGTGGGTCCAGACTCCTCCTGGGGCCTCGTCCACAGGCTCCCAGACCAGCCACACTGCCCACCAGCCCCTCCTGGGCCCACCCCACACACCTGCGTTCAGGGCCCCTCCCCTGCCTCCGTCCGCAGTGCCACGCCCTCCCAGCGGCACCTCCACCTGGCTTAGACTCGGGAAGTGTGGAACACTTTGCAGCCCGACCTCCTCCACCCCACTGGACCGTGCCCTTCTCGGGACAGGCTGCGCTGCTCAGCGCCTGCACAGAGGCCCCAAAACTTAGAAAAACACAGTGACTTCCCCAAACGTGCCACGGGTATCACCGAGTTCACACACCTTCAAGGAAAGGGAGAAACACCCACCTGGTAGAACTGGTGCCCCGCTTTGCCTGGGCGCCCAGGGACAGCAGGGCTGCAGCCCAGGCTTGTCCACCAAACCCCTAGAAGAGGAGCTGCCTGAGGGGCTCTGGGGGTACTTCTGCCTGTTCACATTTCCCCACCTTGTCCCCCGATATCATGGGCACCTGTCCTTTCTGCTGAGCCCCCGCTAGGGAGGGTCCCCGTGGGTGCAGCCTGGTGGGTGTGGGGACGGCAGGCCCCTCAGCAAGTCAGCAGTCTCTCTCAGGGGTGGGCTTGCTGGCCGCCTCATCAGCTGCCCTCCCCCACCCTGGCCACAGTCGGCAGACCTGTTCTGTGCTTCAGTTCATCTTCCCTTCCGGAAAATCCTGCGTAGAGACCCCTGGGGTTGGGTGGGCCTGGACTAAATGGGGTTCCTGGAGCTAAGAGTAACCAGACAAGCCCTGGGGCTCTCTGAATTGGCCCCTTATCTGGAAAAGGGTGAGCACCGCCAGGTTGAGAGGGATAAGTAGGCCTTCAGAGCTTGGCACACAGTAGGTGCTGCATTATGGCACACCCATGGTAAAGCCAAGCGGGACAGAGCCACCAGGGGAGAGCAAGCAGGGCCTGCATCGCCCTGGGCCCTCCTGCCAGGGCTCCACTCTGAGTCCAGGACCCCCACACTTGGGAAATGAGTCTCCAGCAAGGCCCTCTATGCCACCGAGGCACACGGCCTGCCCTTCTGGGAACAGAGATTTTGGGGGGCTGGGTGAGCCCCTCTCAGGGGCCCTAAGGCCTAACCCAGAGTGGATACAGGGCAAGGAGGAGGAGGGAGGAGGGCAGGTCTGGTAGGGACTCTGAGAGGTCAAGGCCAAAGGCAGTAAGCAGCAGACACAGATGGGGCGTGGCCTGGGGTCAGCAAAGGCCCTGGGTGGCATCACGGTGGGAGCCCAGGGCGGGATGGCCCCCAACTTGGGAACCTACATGCAGGAGCACAGGAGGGTCCCAAGCAGGCCCCAGGCGCTCGGGGCCTCTCCCACATGCTCGCTCAGCTGCAGGTGCCTGCGTCGTCCCTCCCCTCCCTAGGCCAGGAAGGGTGCTTCCGCCACCCTGAGCCTTGGTGGCCACAGCGCTCCCTTCTCTGGGCCTGGGGCTGAAACGCAGTCACCTGGGTGGGTGGGATAGTGAGGCCGCCTCACTGGACACAGGGCTGGAAGAATTGCCAGGTGACCCCCACCATGTTGTTAAGAGGGGAAACACTGGTGCCCCAACCCCAGAGCTGGACCCAGCAATGCCACCCCAGCCTCCGCTTCTCCCTGGCTTAGGAAGGCAGAGGACCAAGGCAGGGTGCAGGGCCCAGCATGACCACCAGGGGGGGCACCATGGGAGCACACAGCACCCCACACACAGGAATAGCAGGGTCCATCCTGGGACAGTGGACTCCCCAGGCCCTGCAGACACTGCCCCCTCCACCAGGCCCCACGCTCACTCCACACAAAGCCACGGCTCGCTCTTTATTGCCTTCGAGTGTCCAGAGCACCTGACCGCCCGGGATCCAATAACTTAAGTGCAGAGCACAGGTGAGGGCCCCCGCAGAGGCCTGGCCACTAGTTCAAAAATCCATCCACCCAACAAAAGGCAGGGCAGAGGGGACCTGAGGTGGGGTGTAGGAGGGTGCAGGCAGGAGTCCAGGGACGGGGCTGCCAAGCCTATGAGTCGGCCCCGGCACAGAGGGCCTGGGGCAGGCGGGCAGGCAGAGCAAGGACACGGCCCATGGGCTCCTCGGACGCGGGCAGCTGAGGCACAGGAGGGGAGGGCGGGCGGAGGCTGTCAGGACAGGAGCCCCCGCCGCGGAGTCCTGAGCTACATGACGCAGCATTTGGTCTTGTGCGTGTGGGGGTCTTTGAAGCGCAGTCTCTGTTTGGGCCGGTATTTCTCCAGGTAGGTGAGCTGTTTGCTGTTGATGGCCCCCCGGCGCTTCCTGGGAGACAGGACAGAAGGTCATCGGGATGCTGGCCACCTGCCTGCACCCCAGGGAGTCCAAGGCCATGGCAGGTGGGGCCAGCAGGGCACGGGCAAGGCGGGCTACGGCAAGGCTGGCCCTAGCCCTGGCCCTGGCCCTGGCAGCCAGCCCTGGGGGCACCAGCAGGCAGGACAACAGACGAGTGTGTGCCCACACGAGTGCTGGGCACGTGCCCACTGTGCATGGGTGTGCTGCATGGGGGGTGTGTCCCTGTGTGCCAGGGGCCTGTGTCCAGCCCTCACAGGCACTCACGTGGTGACAGGGTGTGACAGGATGGTAGAAGCCACCTGGGAAGGGACAGCTGTGCTCTGACAGGCTGCGGAGGCAGCAGGAGGACACCTGCCCGAAGCGTGTACACCTCACACACACGTGCCGGCGGCAGCCGAGGACAGCATCAGCCCCTGCTGTCCCCACGTGGCTGAGTGGGCAGATGGGAACCGTCCCCAGGGAAGCCACCAAGCCACAGGCAGCTGGCCTGGAAACCTCCAAGGACAGCAGGCCAGGGGCGGCTGGACCCGGGTTGAGAAGGGCGGCCAGGACCGTGGGCCTGGCCTCAGGCAACCCAGACACCAGCGTGTGCCGGTGTCCTGGGCAGGAGAGGACCAGGGAGGCTTGGGCTGTTTCCACTGAGGCAGGGCCCACCCTGGGGTCTGCCCTGGGCAGCGAGGGGTACTGGGGCACAGGAACCGTGTCTGCCAGGGCAGGAGGCGGGACACTGGCAGCCACAGCTGTCCCTCCACTGTGGCAGGTGAGGAACAGGACAACAGGTCACTGCCGAAGGGCCAGCCCCCGACTGTCCAGAGCCAACAGGGGGACCCACTGTGGCCCTTGCCAACCCACGTGGCCTAGGAAATTCCATTAGCAAACCCAGGGAGGAGAGCCCATCCCAGTCCAGCCCTCTCCCAGGGCAACCAGGACCCAAGCACACGGTCATCCCGTCCCCACAGCTGGCCACTCACTGCCGGATGAACTGGATGGCGTCCTCGTACTTCATCCCACTCTCAATGAGGGCCACCGCCACGAGAACCGGAGCCCTGCGGGCAGACGGCAGCGCGGAGGTCATCTGAGCCCTGAACCCCACCTCCCTCACAGGCTGCCTTCTGGAGACGGAGGGCGGGGGACCCGGACCCGAGGGGAGTCCCCTGAGCTCCTACAGAGGGCAAGACCGAGACCGGCTGAAAAGCCTGGGTCCAAAGCCCGCCCCCTTCTGTCTACTGTGCCACCTCAGGTAGTTGAGACGAACTCTCTGTGCCTCAGGCAGGTGAAACGTGTGGTGGGAGGGTTAAGCCAGGATGCGCCAGGAGACGCTCAGCTCAGAGCGGGCCTCGGCGAAAGCTGGTTCTCCACCCTCACTGTCTGGTCTGCCCTCTGCAAATGGTAGATGCCCTGCCTGGGTGATTTCCATCCAATCCAGGCTGCTACACCTCCCTCAGGAAGAATCCACCACCCCAGCTAAGAGGAGATGTCTGTGCCTGGGGGGGGACGGGGCAGCTCCTTCCCTGCACAGGTGCAGGGACAGTTTCCACCACAGCAGGTGGGAGTCAGGTCAGACTCCGAGAAGCACTTCTTCCCTGCCAGGCTGTAAGGGAAACTGGGGCATCTCCCCTCGGGGAAGGTCACATGACGTGTCCCACATCAGAGCGTGAGACAGACTGCAAGATCTCAAGCCCAGGCTGGGACCCCGCGCCCCGGCCCCACCCGCTGCTCACCGTCCCAGGCCCGCCACGCAGTGCACGGCCACACAGCTGCCTGGGTCGCCCAGGAACTTGGCCTTCAGCAGGCTGAGCCAGTCCTCCACGACCTTGCCAGGCGGGGGCGCCCCGTCGTCGAAAGGCCAGTCCTGCAGACAAGACCAGAGGGGTGGCCAGGCGGCCCTGGGCCCAGGCTGCCTACCCCAGGGGCCTGCTGGGGAGGGACTCATGTACACTGACCCCTCCTCCAGGAAGCCGCCCTGGGTCACCTGAAGACACCCTGCTGGGAGCCCCACAGTCTTATGCCCTGACTGTGGTCCTGGGGTCACCATCCTGTCCACTGTGTGCTGTGGCAACCCAAGAGGCTCAGAGTCACAGGCTAAGGAGTCCCATCCCTTGCAGCGACATTAATGTGCTGCCACGTGCCTGCCGTCCCCAGCCCCCAGGGCACCACATGTGGGATGGAGGGAGGCTGGCGGGGGAGGCTGATGGGGGAGGCTGGCGGGCCTTCCGGCCACCCCCAGGGGTCAGCTCTGCTGTGAAGCTCAGTGTCGCTCTCCTGTCCCCTGTGCCCTGGGGAGGTGCAGCCAGTGTCCAGGAAACCTCCAGCCCTGAGCACGCCACAGTGAGCACAGAGATGTGGACACTGTGGTGAGGCAGGTGCCCAGGCCAAGGCTGGCACCGCCGCGTGCCAGGGTGAATCCGCATGGGCTCCCTGGGGCTGCTGGAAAGCGACCCTGGGGGTCATCTCACCCTGCCCCAGGTCTAGGCAGGGCAGCTCCTGGAGGCATCCAGGGCACTGCTGTCTTGGGTCTAACCCAAATCCCTCCTACTGGAGGGAGGGGAAGCACCCTGTGCTAGAGGTGGTGCTAGAGCCCTGCGGGTGTCGTGGCTCAACAAGCAGCAGCGGGCTTCAGTCCACACCTGTCTGACCCCAAGTGCCACTCTACCACGCCGACTTCCAAGGGCGGTCCCTACACACAGCGACACCTGTCAACACCAGGGTCCTTGCAGGGGACCAGGGGTAGCTGGCACTGAGGACAGGAGGCTGGGGCTGCGGCACGGGGCACCTGGGGCTGGGGCCTGGGGCACCTGGGGCTGGGGCACGGGGCAGCCCGCACCGAGCCCCATCCTGAGGTGGGGAGGCCCTGCTCTGGGGAGCTGCCGTCTGCCGAGCTAGGTGACCCAGAGCTGGCTCTGGGGCCTGCCCCGAGGCCCACCCCCAGGTACACGGCAGCCAGATCCTCCCCCAACTGGACCCCAGAGCTTTAGAAGCCAAGGAAACAGCCCAAGCTCCTGCCACAGCCTCTGCAGGGGCCTCCCCAGGGCCCAGCACCAGGCAGCCCGAGGCAGAGGGCAGGCCCCTGGGAGGAGCAGGCGCAGAGGAGCCGGCTGCCCGATGCTGCTCAGGAACCCGGGCAGGGGCCCGCTGAGCCCGCACCCGGCAGAGGTGAGGCCGTGGCCTCCTCCAAGCAGGGCTGCGGGGGACCAGGTCCAGTCCCGGCAGTGCGTCTCGGGCAGGAGCAACGATGTGACCAGGGACCCTCCTACCTCCAGCTGTGGTTCCCCAGAGGGAGCCAGGCAGGGGTTGTGACAGGTGGTGGCTTCTGGGACCCACACCCTCCTTCTCCAGGTCACATGTCCCAAGACCCTGGCCTCCCTCCAGGTGCCCACATGCCTGTGGCTGAGGCACAAACACCGGGTAGCACCAGAGGCCACGTGCCAGCCTCCCCGAGGACACCACCCAGGCCCTGCCTCACGGCGGCCACGTGCCCAGCGCCACGCAGTCCTCACCATCACAGTGATGCCATCCTTCTCCAGTGTGGCCTTGTCATAGGTCACCTCGCACACGCGCACCACAGTGGTGGCCCCGTACTTCTTCAGGTCCTGGCAAGGGGACAGGAGGAGAAGGGCAGGGGCCATGGGGTCAGCACCCAGGACCCCTTGACCAGGGTTCCCAGGGCAGACTGTATTCCCCAGGGGTCCCCTTGCAGGGCTGGGTCCCCTCAAGCTCCTGGATAGAGTCAGGAGGGGAACAGGAGATGGACTCTGAGGCCCAGCGATTGGCAGGTGGCCTTTCCTGAGCTTCCAGGTCACGTGGGCCTGGGCCCCCTGGGAGGAGGCATTCCCACCTACACTCACTGGGACCCGGGCTCAGCAGCTGGGCCAGGCCCCTGAACATGAGCTCCCTTCCCTGGAGCTCAGGACCCTGGCTCTCACCAGGCCTCCCGTTCCAGGCAAACCTCTGCTGGCTCCCCGTGGCAGAGGCGGACCCCTGGCCCACTTCTGAGCAGCCCTCCTGGCCTGGGCTGCACGGACAGGTCCAGTGCAGGGAGAAGCAGGCTTCGGTGGGCAGGGTGCCTCAGAGCAGGCAGGAAGGGAGCCAGACCCTGAGCAGCATGGGGAAGACCCACACAGCCAGCCCAAAGGTCACAGCAGCTCACAGCCAGACACGGGGTATTTATATCTGGGGACACATGAGAGGCCAGCACCAACCCCACCTGCTCCCAGTAGATATTTTAGGAGTGGTAAGGAATCACTGGGCTTTGCTGGTCATGAGATGGGGACACCAGACCCGACTATTCTGATAACACAAGGAGTAGAATAGGATGTGGCTCAGAGGCCCTGGGCACACCTTCAGTGGAGGAAGCCACCGCCCAGCTCACCTTGACCACACTCCAAACCACCATCCTGGCCACCCACTGTGCCCTGACCCACTGTGCCCTGACTGTGCCCTGACTGCGCCCTGACCAGAAGCTCTGCTTCTGGCTACACAGTGGGTCTTCAACCTGGTCACACACTGAGGCCAGGTTCGGCTCACATACTGAGCCCTTGTCCTGCTCACGTGTGAGCCCTAATCCTGCTCACATGCTCAGCCCTCATCCTGCTCACAAACTGAGCCCTCAGCAAAACAAGAGGGGTAGCACCAGACAGGAGAGAGGCCATGTGTCAGCCTCACCTGAAGACACTACCTAGGCCCTGCTCACACCCTGAGCCCTCATCCTGCTCTCATACTGAGCCCTCATCCTGCTCACACCCTGAGCCCTCATCCTGCTC